ACCAGGGATCACTCGGGCCTTTGCACTTGAGAGGGGGGCGGTGGAACCACTGAGCCAAATCGCTGGCCCTCTGGGTTCTATCTTGGTGGCTCCCAAATTAAGCCGGTTTTACCTCCGACCTATTTTTCTGGCACAGCAGGTGCTGGCCCCATCTCCTAGCTGTCTGGGCTGCAGCCCTGAGGTGGCCTCGTGAAGCCCGTAAAACTGTGGATGGTATGGCCGGTCCCTCTTCCCTCGCCCCTTCTGCTGTAGGCACTATTAGCTTCTTCATCCTTGAACTTGCAACCCTGTACTTCTTATTCCTTCTAAAGGCTTTTACCCCAGAAACTAACCAGGATCCTTTTTGCCTCCTTTAGATCTCTATTAAAATTTTAACTTGGAAGGCTTCCCTTAATTATCCAAGCTTGAAACAGCATGGCATTTATTACCACGGGATGTAATGTGTTCCTGCCCACCCCTGCCGCACACTGACACACAACCACAAGCTCCAGGAAGGGGCCCCTCACTTGCACACTGCTAGATCTCGGGACCCAGAACAGCAAGGCTTGGAGTGGGCACCGGGTCCCTGAGCACCTGCAAGGGGTGCCAAGGCTGCAGCTGCCAGCAAGCTCTTTGCTCCTGGCCCTGGCACTCCAGGTGGGAACAGCATTGCAGGGGACAAGATCTGGGAACAAAGGACCCCGGTGAAGCCAGAGGGTGTCAGGCGTGGGACACGCAGTGGGAGGTAGGGTCCCTGGCAGCTGGGGCAGCTCTACAGTGATATTCTGGGCAGAAGCCTGAATCCTTAAAATTCTCTGGGGCTGGGAACTGCTGTGCACAGAGCCTTCCGTGCACATGTGTCCTAGAGCACAGAAGCCTTTCCCAAGGGCTGCGGAGGAGGCCTTGCAAGTAGCACCTGCCCAGAAAGAAGCAGAAGACAGAAGGGTATCGTGACCACTGGGCTGGGCTAGGGAGTTCCAGGAAGTCGGGGTGAACATGTGGGCCTCCCCAGGCCCGCTCACGGGAAATGGCCAGTCCTGGTGGACACTGCCTGCTCCTGTCCCCGCAGCTCGCCAACAGGCCGATGGCCCTGGTTTCAGCCTTGGGCATCCGCTGAGGGCTGCCCAGAGCTTCCGGGTCTGTGCTGTGCAGCGGTCTAGGTGACCGGGTCCCTGCCGTTCCCTTTTCAGAGGTCTCCCTGAAGACGGATGTGTACCGTGATGGGCAACAGGAGATGCCAGTCAACAAGCAGATGAAGGTGAGGCTGCCCGTGAGAGAGGGTGTGGGGTAGGCTGAGAGGCAGGCCTGCTTTTTTTGCCAAGTTTCGGGGTATCTAAAGCTAGCTTGCTGCAGTACAAGTGGAGACTGGAATTTCTGGCTTGCTCAGGGCACACAAGGCTAGGATGCCCAGCTCCCTTCCTAGGGTGGTCCTGTGGCCCACAAGGAACAGGGTCTGCTGCCACCGCCCGTGATGCCTTCATGACTCTCCTGTCCTTGCTTCCCCAACACTGAAACCAGCTAGGGACAGGCAGCCCGTAGCCACTATCCACCTTTCTTATCACCCTTGGGCCACCGGCTCTGCGTCACCTTCGAGTTCCTACAGACTCTCTCAGACTGCCCCAGAGGTCCCCAGGGCCTGGAGAGAGAGGCTGGGCTCTGCTCCCTGGTGGGCAGTGGCATCTGGAAAGCCCGGGGTTCACTGGCTGCTTCCTGAGTCTAAGTTCCTTTTGCTGCAGGAAAAGTGGGTGTGGGGCCCGACCGGATGGGGGGCCATCCTGCTTGTGAACTGCAGCGCTGCTGACGTGAGCCAGGACACCAAGACTGTGGTGTCAGAAGGTAGGACCTCGGCTCTCCCCGCCTTTCCCTGCTCTGCCCCTGTCTATGCCTCAGCGAACAGACTGCAGACCAACATCCCCCTCTGGGTTGATAGTCATTTTTTTTTTAAACTGGAGATTGAAACTAGGGCCTTAGCACTGAGAAACATCCCCAGCTCTTTTGGGCTTTTTTTGAGGCCAGGTCTCATTACATAGTTCAGGCTGGTTTTGAACTCACTATGTAGCCCAGGCTGGTCTCAAACTCACAGTGATCCTCCTGCCTCAGCCTCTTGAGTGCTGGGATTACAGGCGTGCACCACCATGCCTGGCGGCTAAAATTTACTTTTGAGCCAGGATCTTGCTGAACAATGGCAAACTGCCCAGATTGGGCTCAAACTTGGAACCCTGCTGCCTTAGCCTCCCAGAGTTGGGATTACAGGCACGCACCACAGCTGTACCCAGCTTGAGCACATCTTTTTGTCAGCTGGAGGTAGAGCACTTGCCTAGTACTGTGTAATGCTCCAGACTCCATCCCCAGCAAGAGCAATAATAAAAAATTGCACCACAAAGCTGTGAACCTGGGAAGAAACGGGCCCCGTTGTCTGGCGGCGTTGGCTAACAATAACTTTCTGGCTGTGAATTTGAGCACACGAAATTCCCTGGTCAGTCTCCATCTGTGACCCTGGGACACATTGACCTCCCTGGGTGGTTGAGACCAAAGATGTAAAGCAAGGGACGCTTCTAACTTAGGCAAAAGCAGTTGGTCTGGTCCTGACTTGGGGCTGGGATTCTGCTGGTCTTGGTGGTAGCGATGGGCGTCTAGGTTTGCGGACTGGAGGTGAGCCCTTGCTGAACTGAGGGTCCGGATACCATTCTACGTGTTCTTCAGGAAACGGCATCCTCTCCTGAGGGTACCTGGGGTTGGCAGCCTGCTTCTGGCCATGTAGGAAGCAGCAGCAGCAGCAGAGAGAGGTCCTCGGTGCTATTTCGTGCAAGCCCTCGCCCCGAGGCTGCAGCTCCTGTCCTCCCCTCCCGAAGGCTGAAATTTTTGCCTTGTCCTTTGCTCAGATATAAAGGACCTGTCCCAGATGACACTGACGGTCCAAGGCCCCACCGCTGCCTTAAAGAACTACCAGCTGGTCCTCCACACCTCTGAGGAAGAGGCCGAGAAGGCCAGAGTCTACTGGCCGCACGGTGAGGGCACCCGGTCTGCAGGGTCCTCACAGCTGGGAGGCGAGCACTGCCCTGTGCAGAGGTGATATCCCTTCCCGTAACTCCTGCTAGAGGAGCTCCTCCAAGCCTCCGTGATATCCAGCTCCCAGAACTCGGGGGCCGAGAGGCCAGTGTGGCTATCACAATGGCACCTCCATCGGGCTGTCACAGCATCCGCGGCCCATCTCTCTGGAGGCAGGCAGCACGCCCACCCTCGGATGGAGGCCCAGAGGGCTGCCGGTTTAGAAGACGGGCACGTCCAACCCAGAGTCTCTTGACTTCGTTCAGTTTGATGCCTCAAAGTTTCCCAGCTTGAGGTTTAACTCTTAGCTCCTGGAGGCTTCCTGTGTGCCACCCTCTCTCAAAGCCGCACTTAGCCTCAGCAGGGCAGTGGAGGCCGTGGTTTGCAGTGTGTCTCTTTGGAGAGGGTACTGTCTCTCGCCAGCATTAGCAGTACTTGTGCTAGGGGCCTAAGTGCACCATCCTTTCCAACTCTTTGGAGGGCCAGAGCTGGACCTGGGGGTGACCTGGGAAAAGACAGCCCAGGTAGGGTAGACTCCAGACCTGTGGGCTCGGCGTGAACTTCAGAGATACATGTGGTTCAGGCCTGGCTCAGGACAGGGGGGCTACTCTGGCCCCGGGAGGCCACCATCTCTGAACAACTTGGAGGTAGGATGGGCCAGGCCAAGTGGGCCTTGGAGGCGGCGGATTCACAGAGCCCGCTAAGGGCGCTGCATTTCCTCGTGTGTGTCAGTGTGTCATGGAAAACACTCGGGGAGAACTGAAGCCAGAAGCAGAGGCGCTGGCAGGGAGGGGCTCGCTCCTTTAGAATGGGTATGCTTACCCTGTGCCTGTCTGTGTTGGCAGCATTTAACTTTTATTTTAACAGAGGCTCATAGCTAAAACTTGCCTTGCATCTCAGAAGAGACTTTGGACTTGGACTTTTCAGCAGTGCTGCGACTGTTCGGGCTTTCCACCATATCCGTTTAGTCCATCTCTAGATTGCCGAAGAGTTGTGCATGTGTGCACGTGGGGCCAGAGGCAGAATGCCATAGTTCATGTCTAGATGCCGCCCCCCCAGCCTCATGCGATCATAGGGTGGCCTTTGGAAGGTGATTGGGTTCCGGGGCTCTCCTAGCTGACTCCCTGTTGGGAGTGGCATGGAAGGTTAGCGCTCCCTTCCCGGCTTGGCCCTTGATTCTGTTTCCGGGCTGTTACAAGCTTAACTCCACCCAGGCCCCGCACGGTGCCCTGTCGTGGCGCTGGCCAACTAGGGACTGAAAACATGGCCCAGAATAAACCTGTGGAGGAAAGCAAGACACCCACCTTTGCACGCAACGTTCACCTTTAGCCCCCGACGTTGCTTGCCATGGTAGCACACGCGTGTCACTGTGGCACTTGGCAGGCTGAGGTAGGAGGATCCGTCCACTTCTGCCCTCCTGGAGCTCCGCCTGACATCTAAGCCGAAGAGCAAGCCACTGCCCTGACTTTGGATGTGAGCACTGCAGCTCGGCTACTCCGGTGGCTGATGGTCCCTCCTCTTTGACCTAGGAGACACCTCCGGTACCTTTCAGATTGTGCTGGGACCTGGCCGGAACTCCTACACCTTTAACCCACTGGTGAGCCTTGGGAAGGAGACCCTCTATGTGGAAGCAACAGAGTTCCCGTCTGCCAACTTCTCCGGCCTGATCTCCTTCTCGGTCTCCCTGATTGAAGACGCTCCAGTCCCCGTATGTCACCGAGGAGACAGCTCTAGGCTGGGGACAAGGTGGAGGAGGAGGATGTCACTCGGAGCCGGGTGGGGCGGGGTGGGTGCCAGAAGGTACTGGTAGGATTTCCAGAGAAGGCTGTGGAAGGCGGTGGGACCCACGCTGGCCTGGGCTGAACGGCTGCGGGCCCAGGGGTGCAGGGCGAGGGGAAGAGACGTAGAGCCGGGTCTCCACCCGGACCTTGTCTCATGTTACAGTCCATTCCGGAGACCCCGGTCTACAAGGACACGGTAGTATTCCGGGTAGCTCCTTGCATCTTCACCCCCAGCACCCAGATGCCACTCGAGGTGTACCTGTACAGGTAAGAGGCCCTTAGGCTGCAGCAGGCAGGCTCCTTCGCCGGGACCCTCTGGGTACGCAGGGCAAGAGATGGCTTAGGTGTCCCCCGGGAGTAGACCTGCCTACCCAGTGGCCTGTGCCCACCCCAGACCCCCGTCTGATAGATGCTTGGGGTGGATGGGGAACGAAGCAATCCCCAGTACTGGCTTGGAGCGGCGGGGTGGTCACACAAAGAGCAAAGGAAAGAGTTAAGGGTGAGCGTGTTGCAGAAAGCAGGGGGGCTCCTAGCTCTCTGGGCCAGGGAGCTTAGGACAAACCAAACAGAACCTCTGGCAAAGCTGCAGAGGCTGGACCGTACCAGCCCCCAGCAAAATGCCGTAAAGAGCCTGTCCCCCTGTCGTCACTGAGGGGCCCTGGTTCCTCTGTCTTGTCGTAAGGCTTCTCTTAGCGTGGTGTCTCGATCTTCGCCGGGCCCAGGGCCAAGGAAGGGGAAAGCTGCCACCCAGGCCACGCTGCCTGCTACTCGGGGCTCCAGAAGTCTCCCGAGCCACTGGTACTCACGTGCCGGTGGCGACAGGATGTGCATGGGAGAAGGATCCCGGGGACGTAGTGGCTGGGAGGTAGCGAGGGTTCTTCTAGCCACGTGGCAAGTCAGGGGTGCACATGAAAGGCACAAGGTCGGGGCAGACACTGCTGAGCTCGGGCCGGAGTGGGAAGAGCTGATGGCGACTCGGCATCTGCAGCAGGAAGGCAGAGCTGTTTGCCCAACTCCACACCGGGTGCCTCTGGGTACCCCTGCCATGGTCCTTCTAGAAGATGCTGTCTCATAAAGTGGGAGGCAGAGATGTTCGTGGCCAGGCAGGGAGCCCAGGATGAAGGTCAAGGGCATCAGAGACGCCACCCTGGCTGCAGAGACAGGTGGAGAAATGCTGACGGACTGACGGGGAAATGACCCCGTGGGGCCAGGCTGCTGGCCGAGCGGCCGGGAGGGAGGGAGGGAGTCACGGGACACCGGATCAAGGTGCTGGATGCGGTGTGACCATCCACAGAGGAGGCAGAGATAGGATGGAAAATCCGGCTTAGGCTGGGGTGTAGCCCCTCGGAAAAGCACTGGCCTAACATGCTGTGGCTGTGGGGACAGCAGCGCCATTCACCAAGGTTGTGGGGACAGGGACGACCCAACCATGAGCGCCTAGGAAGCCCTCCCAAGCAGGCTGGTCTCCCACGCAGAGACGTGAAGATCCAGGGCTTTGTGGACTCGGTGACAGTGCTGAGTGAGAAGACGGACAGCCAGGTGGCCTCTGTCTACGAGGACTCCAACCGCCTGGGCAGGTGGCTGCAGGTAACGCCCCCACCTGAGCAGCCTGGCCTCTGGAGAGGGGGCCTCCCACCCGCCCTGGACAGAGGCATCTTCGCCTCTCAGGCTTCACAGAGGCTCAGGTGAAGTGATGCAGGAGTCCTAGCCCCTGAGGGATAAGGCTGAGGGTCCAAGCTCTTTCCCCGTCAGGAAGCATCTTGGTCGGAGAACACAACGCTGACCCCCACCCCTGGAGGGGCTGCCGCCTTCGGCTGTGGTCAGGCCGCGTTGATGCTGCAGGGTCCGCCCTGCCCTGGCACAGGGCCGGGTCCAGAGCCAGCTCAGCTCCCATCCTGCCCGATGCCGCTCTGTCCCTTGCTCAAGAGAGTGCCATCTGCTGGGTGTGCCCCTCAAAGGCCAGGGAGAAGCCAGGGTGGGACGGGTGGGCCTGCTCCGACAAGGCTGGAACTCCTGAGAATTAGAGAAAAAGCAAGACCATATGGCGAGTTCCGAGAACTAGGCCATGCTAGGCAGTGTAGCAGGTGACTGGGAAAGCCCCAGCTGACCCTTGGGAACCGAGGACCTGGCACATTTGGCAGTGGGCACACTGAAATGGAAAAGGGTGACCTCGCCACCCACGGCCATGTCAATGAATGGGGATCAGAGCCTGGCAAGAGCGGTACTGGGGTGAAATTAACGAAAAACCCAAGCGAGATAGGGTGACATTAAGAGCAACACATGCAGTGTGAAAGAAAAGTTATAAAGTCAGACAGGGTGGTACACGCCTGTGATTCTAGCTAATACTCAAGAGGCTGAGGCAGGAGGATCACAAGTTCAAAGCCAGCCTGGGGAAATTGGCAAGACCTTGTCTCGAAAGGGAAAGATTGGTTTAGATTTTTAAGAGCCCCACTGGCCAGGATGTAGAGGACACTGGGTGAGGTGAGCCTGGCTGGAAGGCATTAGGATAGGAAGAGATCGTGGTGGACTCCTTAGGGTACTAGGGATGAGGTGAGGTAAAGCCACCCAGGCTCCTCAGTTTGGGTGGGGAGGAAGAGAGCCAGGTGATTCGCGTTCCAAACCTGAAAAAATGAAAGCAGATAAAGAAAGGGCACCTGAGCTGGGTTTTGAAGGCTGAGCAGGAGTTGGCAGGAGGGTTTGTCAGCACCATCTCTGAAGGTAGCCTAAGTCCAGCGATCCGTGGGGCCCGCAGGTTAGATGTAAGCAGGAGCTGTTGGAGTAAGACAACCTCACAAGTCTGTCTCCCTCTCTCTTCCAGGATGAGATGGCCTTCTGCTACACTGAGGACCCCAGCAAGATGACATCCTTTGTCCTGGATACCCCTCGGGCTGCCAAGCTTGAAGAATTCCCCATGAAATACGCACTGGTGGGGCTTGGTTTACCCGATAATACAGTCCAGCCAGCCCCTCGGGCCTGGTGTTCACCCAGAAATGATGGGGTCCCCCAGGGAAAGGTGCAGGTGGCCGGGAGGGGTTGAGGCAGCTGACAGCCAATTAGGAGTAAAGATCAGAGCCTGTTGTGCCTCCTCTCACCCTGCCTCCGCTGTGTCCCCTCCCAGAGCCCTGGTGTCGGCTACGTGATCCAACACACCAAGGACCACACGGTGGCCAGCCTGGACACCATCGGGAACCTGATGGTGTCCCCACCCGTCAGGGCCCAGGGGAAAGAGTACCCACTGGGCAGAGTCCTCTTTGGTGGCAGCTTCTATCCCAGGTGAGCTGAGAGGCTCAGAGGTACCTGGATGACTCAACAAAAGAGCAGCCCAGGCTGGGGATTTAGCTCAGTGGTTCTGTTGCCTGCCTCGCAAGCGAAAGGACCCGAGTTCAATCCCCGGTAACAAAAAAAAAAAAAGAGCAGCCTGCTGCTGGTGGGCCGGGGGCCACACTGACTCCCCCTGGACCTCAGCCGGCCTCTGCTCTGGACCGTTTCTCAAACTGAAATGTGGATGGTGTTTGAATCTTTGGCTCCTGTAGGAGACTAAAAGTGGAAAGAGGGAACTGTTCGGTCTATGGTGAGTCCAAGGTTTCAACTGAAGCAGGGATTTAGCCTATTGGACCCTGCAAGATTCTATCTGCACAGAAGGTGCGCTTGGAACCTGGATGCCAGGAGACCCTGCGTCCTGGATCCAACCGTGTAGCAGAGTTGGCTCCATCCTGAGCTGGGTCGGAGGAAGGGATCCCTGACCACCCCACGGTGACCACCCCACGGTGACCACCCCACGGTGACCACCCGACTCGGCTGCGCTCCCTTCTCCTTTCCAGTGCCGAGGGCCGGGCTATGAGCAAGAGCCTCCGCGACTTCCTCTACGCACAGCAGGTCCAGGCGCCCGTGGAGCTCTTCTCAGACTGGCTCATGACCGGCCACGTGGACGAGTTCATCTGCTTTGTCCCAGTGGAGGACAGAGAGGGCTCGAAGGTCTCTGGTGGGGACACCCACTGGCCCCCCTCAGACGTCGCCTGAGCGGGTGCTGGCTTCTGACTCGGGCTCTGTTCTCAGGGCTTCCGGCTGCTCATGGCCAGCCCCAGGGCCTGCTACAAGCTGTTCCGAGAGAAACAGGAGGAGGGCTACGGGAACGCAGCTCTGTTTGAGGGGGTCAGCGCTGACCAGCTGCGCTCTAACGGTAAGGGACCCTCCAAGAAGCCAAGCCGCCCCTTCCCGGGCGCCCGTCAGCCTTTACCTGGCCTCGCTCGGCTGGCGTCTGCGTGAACGTCTGGGCACTTGGGCTCCGTGAGTCTCTCGGTTGCCCCTCAAGGAGACGCATTCGTGAACAAGCCGGGGTGGCGTGGCTGGTGCCGCGGCCATTCTGACCTAGATGTGGAGGGAGCGCACAAAGGGACTTTCCCAGAACACGGGGCAGGGGGTTGGGATGCTCTCTAGAGCCGCTCCCCCTACAGTGTGGGCTGAGGGCCGGCAGCTTTATCATCGTAGGAAGCCGGGTGGCCACGGTAGACAGTGGGGCCCATTGGCCTCTTGGCCACAAGAGCACTGTAGAAGGTAGGACTTGCTCAGCATGGACCACGTGCCAAAGACTGTCACCCTGGGGGCGGTGACTGCACCTTGGGTATTCCCCTCCCAAAGTTAGGCAGCTGCGAGTGAAATCAATGTGCCTTGTAAGAGCACACGTAGAGGGCTGCACGGGTCTGGTGGGGCACAAAGATGTCCCAGAAATGAGCAGGGGAGAAGTAGCCCTGCTCATGTGATCTATCTCAGCCGCCTTCCTCAGCCAGGGACCACGGCTGGTGGTGACAAGTCCTGCCCGGGCTCTTGGGCATGGACAGCGGTCAGTCCGTAGGTGGACTTGGGGTGGGCCTTGGGGGCTAGCAGTCCTGTTACCATCACCCGCCACCGGCTGTGCCTGGCTCTGGGCAGTGTGCAGCCCCTGCCCTGACCTGCCTGTCCTCTCCTCCCTCCGACAGGAAGGGAGGCCAAAACCATCTCCCAGTTTCTTGCTGACAGAAGCTTGAGAAATCAGAACGACTATGTAGAGGTAGGGGCCAGGGCACAGGGCCTGTCCCCAGGGAGGTGGCTGCCGGCTGCCCTTTCCTCCCCCAGACCATCCTAAAAGCTGGATCCAGGCTCCTCAGAGGGAGGGTGGGGGTGGCACGTCCGGGACAGGGACAGTCTGCTCCTCAGCTGGCTTCCTACACTGCCCAGAAGCGCCCAGCTTGCTCCCGCTAAATCGCTGAAAAGACCCTGACCGTCTAGACTGTGGCCTTGGGCATCATGTGAGCTGCCTCATGGGCCCTCAGGGATAGGAAGTAGAGCCCAGCCTGCGCATGAGGGCAGGGAGGCTCCGGGCAGAGGCACGGGCTGAGGGGGGACCCTGTCTGGGTGCATATCGGGCTTCGTGCTCTGCGGGGTGTGCTGTCTGAGCGGCCCAGAGAGCGCTTCCCCAGGGACAGTGACAGGTTGGAGCCCCCGCCAGAGGCCTGCCCCCTGGTCCCACGAAGCTCTCGCTGCCGGCTATCAGACTCGGAAATGGACCAGAGCCTTCTCAGTGCTTCCTGGTTGAAGTGGCTGTTGTCACAGCCCCGAGAGGGCAAAGCAGGGTCACCGGGTTCTTGATCTTACACTGCGCATCACTGACCGCAAAAAAGCAGAGCTCTAAGGAGCGGTCGTGCAGCCTCTAGACGGCGAAGCTGAGGCCTGGAGGAGTTTCCTGTCCCGAGGTCGCAACACAGAACTGGGTTGACTCCTCGGAGCATTCTGTGCCCGGGATAGTGGTGTCCTGGCTTCTGCAAACCAGGGAGGCCCTGGCGGCCCGGCAGGGCGGGTACCGGCTGCGTGATGGCTGTCCTGGTTGCCACAGCCACGGCACCCAGGGAGCTGGCTGGGTGCTCGCCGTGAGCGGGGTGTCCCGTCCTACAGAAATGCATTCGCCTGAACCGCACCATCCTGAAGGAGAAGCTGGGCCTGCTGGAGGACGACATCATCGACGTCCCCCAGCTCTTCTGTCTGGAGCAGCTGACCAACGTCCCCTCGGAGCAGCAGCCACACAGACTCTTCGCGAGGCCCTACTTCCCTGACGTGGTGAGGGCCGCGGGTGGCTCCTTTTCGGCTAATGTCGGTGGGTCTAGCCAGACACAGGGAAAGCCTGCGGGGAAGCGGGAGCGGTACTTCTCTCCCCTCGGCTGGGGCAGCAACCCTGTGCAGTGGACAGGTGGCCTGAGCCTGCAGGCCGGGGTCCTTCCTGGCTCGTCCCCTACCTGAAGAGACGGACCTAGGGTGACGATGGAGTGACGTCAGGAGGGGTAGGGATGAGGACAGCGGGTCCTGCTGCATTGTTCTGCTGTGCCAGCAACGGCTGCACCTGCATTTTCTCCTTACCAACCGTGACCCGTCACACAGGCGCCTGACGCGACTTCTGAGGTGTCTGTCGGTGCTTTATTTGCGCTCACCAGTCCCACACTCTCCTAACATCAGCGTGGCCGAGCCTGCTCAGCCCCTGGGGATGGGGGTGCACGGTGGGGGAAGCCGCTCTGAGGCGCTGAGAGATGGACAGAAGTCAACAGCAGGCGGGGCGGGGAGGCCAGCCTAGGAGAAGTAGCAGCAAGTGGCACAGCCAAGACCGAAAAACCAGCATAACAGGAATAAAGAAATACAGAAGTCAGCGAGGCCAGACTGTGGCTGGGCAGAACCTGAATCTTGCTACTGTGAAATGTTATCAGGAGTCACTGGAAGACTAAGCAGAAAACTTCTGATTTCACCGAGACAGATTAGTGATGTCTATAGTCACAGGCCTGGAAAAATAATGGCGTCTTGAGCTGCTCCTCCGGTCCAGCCAAACACTCAGTTAGGGAAGTGGGTTTTTAAACCCCATGGCACTCTCGCCCAGAAGAGGGGTAGGGTAGGGCCCTTCTCCCGTGGCTCTGAGCCCTGACCCTTGCTCACTGTTTCTACAGCTGCAAATGATTGTGATGGGCAAGGACCTGGGGATCCCCAAGCCCTTTGGGCCCCAAATCAAGGGCACCTGTTGCCTAGAAGAAAAGATCTGCCACTTACTGGAGCCCCTGGGCCTCAAGTGCACCTTCATCGATGACTTTGACTGCTACCTGACCGACGTCGGAGACTTCTGCGCCTGTACCAACATCCGCCGGGTGCCCTTTGCCTTCAAGTGGTGGAAGATGGTGCCTTAGCCCCCGGCCTTGGAACCTGCCCTGCCCCACCCCGGCACCGATGGCCTGCTTCCACCCGGCCCGTTTGTGTGGGGTGGCTGGAGAGTCATGGCAAATGCCAGCCCTCAGATCCTGTGGGGTGGCACAGGCTACCGGCTCAGGCCTCCTGGGAACAGAAGGGAGAGCAGGAAAACGGTCTTCCACTGTGCTTACTACCGAGCCAATAAAGCTCTAGCTGTGTTGAGTGCACTTTGGTAGGTGCCTCCTCGCTTTGGGGAAGGACTGTGTGCTAGCAGAGGTCCTCTGGGCGGAGCCACCCCACTGCCCGGCTCCTGTGGGGGCAGAGACAGGGCCTTGCTGTTCTCCCTGATTTCCCTGTAATGAGGAGTGGCTGGGCCAGCCCCGGGGGTGCACACCAGTAATCCCAGCACTCGGGAGGCTGAAGCAGGACTCAAGCCCGGGTTGGGCTGTATATATAGCGATTTCAAGGCCAGGCTGAGATCTACTGCAAGACCCTGTCTTTATACAATAATTTCATTTTTTTTAAATCAAAGGAACTGAGTATGTTGGGTTTTGATGGCCGGAGGAAGAGCGGGGGCTCCCCTTGGACCTGGTAGTAGCTGCAGGATGCCCATAAGGAGTGGTACCATGCCCAGTGGGCCTCTAGCTTCAGGTTGGTGACTCCTGGTCTCCTGGGATAGGGAAGACCAGTCAAGTGTAGAGCTCAGCTGTGGCCTTAGAGGCAGGCTGAGGCTGGCTCTCAAGCCAGCAGTGCACTCCGGGACCCACCGCCTCCTGTTTCCTTCTGCCTGAGCACCCTGTGCCAATGGCACAGACACTATGAAATCTAGGGTGTCCCTGAGCAGGCTTAACCACTGTGGCTTCTAGCCTTTGCCACCAGCCTCTACAACAGTCCCTCTGGGACTCTGACCTCTTGGCAAGCCGAGGAAAGGAGCTGAGCCCAAGGCAGTCCTGATCCCAGCCTCCAAGGTGAGGGGTGGCCGACAGAGCCCAGCTCTCTTCCACTCTGCTGGGACCATGGGAACAGGCCCTGTTCTAGGCTGTTTCTGGCCCCACACGGCGCTTTCCTGGTGCTCCCACTCTAAGTTCCTGTAGCATCCACAGCCTGTGGCTCTCGGTTCCGGGGCTGTACCATGGGACCCTGTGTACACAGGGTCGCTGTGAGAATAGGCGTGGGTGACCCCAGGTACCCAACAGCCACCATGTGACACCTGCACGGACACAGCGTGATCCTGAGGCCTAAGGCCTGTGCCGTGTGGAGCAGCTGGCTTAGTGATCTCGGCCTGCTGGGGAGAACTGTGCCCAAGCCAGCACAGGCATGGCAAGGAGCTAGGATCTGAAGCCTGAGCTCTGACTGGACCTGGGCTCCCCCGGTGTTGGAGGAGCCTTGGGTCACAGATGGGTTTGAGGCTCAGGGGTGCTCTCTGGCCTGGGCCCTGCACTGCCTCAGGAGCTCAAACTGTTTTGTTCATCCGCACACGGTAACTCAGGGCTCCTGGTCTACATCACACAGAACTTCGTTTTACTTGCAGCTGCTTCTCCTGTGCTACCCTGGGGCTGACCCAGGATAGGCTTTCTAGTGTTTTTGTAGCCCAGGATGACTTCGAACTCCGTGATTCTTCTGCTTCGGCCTCCCAAATGCTGGAATTACAGCCGTGAGCCGCTCTTCTAGTGCATTTTGTATTTGTGAACAAGGGCTGGTGATGAAGGGTGTGAGGGCGTGAGAGTCAAAGTACCCTTCCCAGGGATTGGAGAAGTCAGATTTTTTTTTTTTTCCTTTTAATGGAAGCCCCTGGATCCCTCTCTGGGAAGAACCGGGAGAGGACAGCCCTGGAAGTAGGAGGCAGGGGACATCCACTGTCCCGGGTGACCCTGCAGGGTTCCCTCCCAGGGGAACTTGCCATCTACTTGGGGCTGCCAGGGTGCTGCTCACTGCCCGTGGTGACAGTAACCAGACCCTCCCCCGGGCTTCTCTGGCCAGTCCAGAGCCTGCCCCCACGGGAGAAGGGGCCTGGGGACCTGGCAGGCTTAACCCTTCCCTGCTGCAGCTCCCTGGTTCCCCCAGCTCGGCCCCCACCTGCCATCGGGTGTCCCCCACAGCCACTGTCCGAGCTGAGTCTCTGCAGCCTCCGGGACACTTGGTTTCTCTAAACCAGTTGCCAGTTTGCCCAGTGGACTTCCAGCTCTTGCCAAGGCCTCCCAGCCCTGGTCCCCCTAGGGCCTCGCGTAGAGGCCACGGCCCCTCCCTCCTCCGGGACCACAAGCCGGGCAGTGTTCATCCGGCCCTTCGCCACACATCCGTCCTGCCCTCCTAGCGAACATTCCTTACACCTGCCCCAGTGAGGACCGCTGGACCCAGAGGGCTCCAACCGCTCCGGGCGGTGGTGAAGGTCATTTACAGAAAGCTCTGGACCGAGGCCAGGTGCAGGCAATCACAGCTGCCCACCCTTGGCCTCCGCAGCACCCCAGCTCACAGGCCAGCCGTGGGTGTGTTCAACGTGGCGTGGGACTGTACTGCCCGCCCAGCAGGTGAGGACAGAAGCATCGGGGGACTGACAGCAGCACAGCATCAAGATACCAAGCCACCCACACAGCCCTCAGTGCCCTTCCCTGACTTCCAGGAATGCCAACTTGGATGCCCCCGGATTACTGTTATCCCCTTCTGACCTCCCCATGGGCAACTAGCCCATGCATCCAGGGCTGGCTGGGGTCCCTCTGGCACTGTCATCGCCTGGGTACGTCTATCCTGCGGGACCCAGCACCCCTCCCCCTTCCCTGCCCCATGGGGGACAGAGGGTGTTGGCCAGCCGAGTCTGGCAGGGTGGCAGCAGCTCTGTCCACCAAGGACACCCCAAGTTCACACCCCACCTTCCAACAGCCACCAGCATGGCCGCAGCCTGTCCCCTTTCCCCAACCCTGGGCCAAAGCAGTACACGAAGCCAGGTGAGGGAGTCTCGACATGTGCACAGCTCCAAAGGCTGCCCGCTGTGTCCCCCGAGGGCACACTCCAGCAGGGTAGCAAGGTGATGTCACTGGGGTCTCTCAGCTGGGGTCCCAAGCACAGGTCTCATCAGCCCCACCACGGCCAAGGCTGTTCCTTCTCTGGGTCTCCCACTTTCCTCTAGGACAAATGTGGCCAGGCCCTCAGGACTGCTGGTGGGGTGACACCTGCCCTGTGTCCTTGTTCTGCCAGCTTCTGCTTCCAGGACGCTGCCCTGCACAGTGGCTACAGTGGCCAAGAGGACAGAGAACTGGCCTCTTGGGTGCCCTGTAGGGCCAGGACTGAAGCTGCAGTCTGGGCTCAGGTGCTCTGGGCTCCCTCTGAAGTTTGGGGCTATAACTGAGAACCGGCTCCTCGGCTCCAGTGGGATTATACCTGATAAACTCTCTCAGTTTCACACCTACTGAGTGTCAGAGCCCAGCTCGGCCTCCTGTTCCACGCAGACTGGGCCTGCAGCTGGGCAAGACCAGCACCAAGCCCGTTGGCCAACAGTGGAACAGCCCATGTCCTGCACTCAAAGTGAGACCCAGGACGATCTCGCTGTAGTGCCAGAAGGTCCTACGTCCACAGGGCCTGGCCGGAAGCTGCCAGGAGGCGCTGACCCCGCCTCACCTCCCCCAGCTCACACATCTCCACCTCCCAACCCCTGCGCAACGCAAGCCTAGGACCAGCTCCAGAGCCCACTTTCTCCTAACACCCACTCTTGCGTGTCCCAGGATTTACAGGGACAGGAGACTGAGCAAAATGGAGCCGCTGCAGGCACCACGTTCTACTGAAAAAGAAACACAAAAGCCAAGACAGAGTAAACAATGATGCTGTTTATTTAAAATGTTTACTCCAAGAAATATATATATAAAAAAAATAAAGACAATTACAGCACTAAACCAGGCGCCTTTGACCAAATCACAATGTCCTCTTTGATTCCCATCCACCTAAGCCCCCTTTTGGACCCTCCTTGCAGACCTGCAGGGCAGCCAAGCCCCTCCCCTGCCTGGCCCTCTGTGCCTCTTGGAGGAGTGCAGGCCGCCCCAAGCCCTGTTCTAAAGTGTGCTCCCCTCGAGGAAGTTCATGTTACAATTCTACACTGAGAAGAGGGTGAGGGAGGGCACAGGACACCTTCCCTTCCCCTGGGGACCCGAGGGTGGCGGCTGCCGGTTTTAGGTCTTGCCTGGAAGATCTGAGCCCAGCTCAGCCAAGGGCAGCTCCCACGTTACTGTGTCCTCAATCTCTGGGCGACCACACAGTTCAAGGGAGACCCCCCCGGGTGTAAGACAAGAGCACAGACTGCCAGCCTCGCTCAGGGGAGCTGCTCAGGAGGGAGGCATCTGGGGGTGACAGGGACAGATCAGGTTAGTTCAGCGGAAGTTCTGACACTGAAGAAGCTTCTCCTGGGGCACAGGGTGGCAGAGACAAGCAAGAACTCAGGCGGGGGGACAGAAGTCACTGTGCGCAGGGACGGGGTGGGAAGACAGGGAGAAAAGCAGTGATGACTAGATCATTTTTGGCATTTTAACATGGAGATGATGACAGGTGGTAACAACAGCAAAAGCAAAAACAACAGCTAGAGACCAGTACTGAGGTCTCCCATCCACCCAAGTCTCACTGAACCCCCTTCTCCCCCAGAAGCACCACAGCTAAAAATCTATTTAAAGCACCCAAACCAGCCCGGACCCCTGGAAACATCGAGCCCCAGCCAGCGCTGTCGCCTGGCCTGGTTCCAGGAAAGGCACCTCGTAACTCCCGCAGCGCGGTCGGCCCAGGGATGGCTCGAGCAGAGAGGGTACTTGACAGGGACGCAGCGGGTGGCCGTCTCGGCTTCTGCGCTGACACACAGAGCAGGGGGCCTCTTCAGGAATCCCAGCTATTTGGTACCGGAGCCAAGCAAACGCACCAGAGCATGGGGTTAGCGGGACAGCAACCCGAGGCGCAGGACAGGGCGGCCGCTCTGGGTGGGAACGGCCAGCGACACAGACGGAAGGAGAGGCAGCAGCAACAGGCTAGGAAACACGCACTGGGCCTTCCTCGCAGGGACTGGAGTGTGCTAGGACTGCCGGCTGGTCGACCTCTAGCTGAGCAGCGCTTATGCCAAGGCCCGGGCTCGACCGGGAGCCATAAAGCCAGACCCCGCCAACAGACACAATCGCCCTCACCTCTGCCCCACCCCAGGTCCCCATGGTTCCACCATGGTCCGATTCTCATTTGGACTTCCCGTACAGCTAAAGGAGATAGAAATGGCAAAACACAACCCCAAAGCCCCCGCCAGGGGGGAAATCGCAGATTCTATGAATGGTTCGGCCAAACGGCTGTGGAGCTTCCAAGCAGCCAAGGGGAACAGAGCAAGCAGCAGCCGGAACCAGGCTGCAGGGAGAAGCGGCAAGTGGCCCGGGTGCTCCCCAAGCGCATGAGCGTGACTTTGGACCGAGATCAGCTACCAGGGACATCTTGGCCTAGATGCTGCTGGCTCCCGTAAGGGACATTTTTGTCAGAGTAAATGGCCATTCCTCTCCCATGTAGCACCCACGTGCACCACAATGCCAATTACAACTGGAATGGGAGGTCTGGGAAAGCATATTCAGGAGAGGCAAAAAGAATACAGCTTAAAAAAAACCCTAAATTGCTCAAAGTTTCTGCTTCTTTTGTAGGAATGGTTAAGTCAACTATGAGCAAATATTTTAATTAAACATTGGAAAAAATAAAAAAAAAAAACCACTTTGGAAAGCATACAGAAAAAGGTAGTTAACGTTGATCACTTAGAAAACAGAACCCTGGGGAGTCTAACAAAAATGCACCTTCGGTCAACTCTTGCTTTTTAAATTCCTCGCCTGACTTCCTGTCCCAGTGCACACGGAAGCGACAGCTGCCGCGGGCGGGGCCCCACTCAGAGGGTGCGCGGGTTGTACTCTGGCAGCCTCTTGATCTTCTCCTTCTCCGCCTCGCTCTCGTCTCGGGCGATCACCAGGGAGTGAGAGTAGCCCATGGCCACCTGCGGAGACAAACCCAGGCAGCTGCTCGTCCAGCTTGGAGCAGTCGGGCACAAGCGGGGACCAGGAAACAGCCACCGGGGGTCAGAAAAGCAGGGCCGCGTCGCCTGTACCCTCCTGGCCAGGGCTATCCAGGAACGGAAGGGCGCCCACTAAGCACTGCTGGCAGGGACCCCGCTCCGCCATCCACTGTGTGCTCCACCCTGACCCAGGAGTGAGCGCTGCCCCCTTTTGGGGACGGCCCAAGAGACCCAAGCCACACACTCGCCCTGGGGACGGACCACGCTGTGTGGCACTGAGCGAGGACAACTGCACGTCCGGGTACCTCCTCTCTCCTGCAGTGCGAGGCTGGGAAAGCCGGTCACAACGGCATGGCTCAAAAGGGCCGCGGCCCCAGAAGCACAGAGTGTACCTGGGTCTCCTCCGCACCCAACACCCAGCAGCATCCCACCCTGCGGGCAGCCCCGCTCACCTGCTCTGAGAAGATGCCATCCAGAGTCTTCACCTCCTGGGCTGCAGTGGAAGACTTGGGCTTGTGGTCCCCATAACCCTGGGAAGGGAAGCAGACACACTCACAGGAGCAGCAACCGCTGTGACATGGTGCTGAACCAGGGGTGCCCTGGCCACTAGCCCAAGTGCCAGGCTAGCCATTGACACACAGAGGCCACCGGGTGCCTTGTTAACCAAGGGAGCCCAGCGTGCTGGATCCTGACCTGGGCCTTGGGGGTAACAGCACCCTCTCTCTGGGGGCATCGTGTGGGGACAGCAGATGATGCCCTGAGCACAGGGAGAGAGAGCAAGCAACCACAGCTGCCAGGCCTACAGAGGCCCCCCAGACACCTGCTTCTAGAGGGCCCAGTAACTACACGAGAGGGCAGAAGGACTGGCGAGTCTGAGGCCAGTCTGGACAACAGAGTGCGTTCAATGCCAGCCTGAACTACACAGTGAGACTCCGCCTCAAAAAACAACGAAACAAAACAGAAAGGCCAAGCCTGGGCTACTTAGCAAGAGACCTTGTTTCAAAATACAATCTTAAAAATCTAAGAACACAGCTCAGAGAGGGGCTGGTGTGCCTAGCATCCACAAGGACCTGGGGTTAATTCCCAAAACCCCCCTCCCCACCGAAAAAAGAAAAACAAAATTCAATTTAGATAAAATGAGTGTTCCCACATCACCCTCCTGGCTGTCTCAAAATGGCACCTTGCTCCAGAGTGCAAACTAAGGCAGCTAAGGCCTGAAAGGCCAGGCTGGCTGGTCGTACGCTAGATACAGACAGGGCTGGCCATGGACCTAGCCCTCTTGGAAAGAAAGAGGTGGCTCCGTTCCTGTCCTTGCAGCGCACAACTGCACCCCGACTGCTACTTATCAGCAGAGCTGGCCCTGAAACCCAATTCGGCCCAAGGTGACGGCGTGCGGCGGACTGTAACCCAGACACACAATGGGTCCCCACCAAGGCGTGTGGCTCACCAGCTCCCCGAAGGTCGGCGATGGACCCCAGCTGATGGTGCTCTCATCAGCGGCCACGATGATACTGCTCTTCCTGCAAACAGCAGGGGCTGTCACCGCAGGCACGGCTCCCGTAGCCCCTCAGCAGTCGGGGAGTCCCTGATGGTCCCTGCGGGCCACTCGGGCCTCAGCTAAACCCGAGAGCCCTGCACAGCACCAGGAAGCAAAGCCAGGGGCCCTGCTGCCTCCCCCTGCTGCAAGGGCCCTTTGGGCAGAGGGAAGGCCACGTCAGGATGAGGTGACAGCCCACTCCCGAGGAGGCGGGGCTCAGGGAGGGAGATCTCACGAGGCAGAGCCACGCGGACCCCAACACACTCCACCAACACCGAGAGGTCCACACCCCTGCCCCATCCGGCCGGCTGCTGACCCCGCACGTGACACCAGACGCGAGAACGCAGATCTGAAGCTAAGCTCCTCCCAGTGTGCTGACAAACTATAAACTCCTGCCGCTCCCACCCGGATGTCCTGACCCTCGCCCCATGCACTCGTTCTGATAAAGCCCTTCGGGGACTTTTCTTCCCATGAAGACAGGGAAGGGGCTGTCCGCCCCGGGGTCTGCCGGAACTGCCCTCTTCCTGCATCCCCATCTGGAACCGTGTCCCCCAAGGCCTGGACAAGGGAGACCCCACCATCCGCAGACACGGGGCCCTCTGAGCAAAGGCAGCGGAGGGTGCGCCCAAAGCTCAGGCCAGGCGACGGCCACCTACCCACAAGCCAGGCTCCGGATCCTCCAGCCACAGAGGTCCTGCACTGCTTTCGGGTACATGGTAGACTCTCGGGAGGTGTTGGTGGCCCCCCAGAAAAACAGCCCTCCTGGAGGAGAAGAGAACACAAGCTCGCCGTGCGGGTCTCAGGAGGCGAAGCCCTGCCTCGGCAACCAAGGGAAGACAAGAGGGTGGAGGACAGCGAGCACACGTGGGAATGACTCGGGACACGCAGCGTCACAGGGCTTAGACTGGGGACAGGATGACAGCTGCAGGGTCCCGCGCAGGGAGGGGCCGACCACACCCCAGCTCCACAGGAAGAACGGACGCACTGACCCACTTCACTGACAGCAAAAGAGCAGGTGTAGCCAGCGTAGATCTGGGAAGCACCACGGCCCGGGAAGTCAAACAGCTTCACCAGGCGAGGCACCATCTCGTCCTTCTGCTCCGCGTGGCCCAGGCGGCCGTAGCCCCCAAAGCCCCAGGAGAAGACGCGCTTCTGGGAGTCCAGGACCAGCTGCAGGGAGGAGACACACCAGCCCGGTTACCAGGGCTTCCCTGGGTGACGGGAGAAGGTGGTGCAGGCAGCTACAAAAGCAAAGGGACAGGGACAGTGCAGAGCCTGCACCCCTGCCCGCTACAGTCAGGCAAAGTGGAGCAAGCACAGAGACTCCACATCTGGTCTGGGCGAAAAACTCTTGCTTTCCCTGCAGGGACCGCATTTCCACTCCCCTTTCAAACCATTGGTTTGTCTTCCCTTCGTCCAAAGCAGAAGGGCTGCCTTTCTGCCCTGTGCCCTTGGAGCCAGGCAGGATGCCCACCTGGACCCACACCAGGGGCAACCAAGCCTTACCGTGTGGTTGGCACCACAGGCCACGTCTCGTACAACCACGTTGGGGACCGGCAGGATCTGCCCATCTTTCGTCTTCTCGATGAAGATGGCCACTCGCCGGGGCACCAGCTCGCAGTCGTACTCTATCCGCTGTGCCCGGGCGATGAACTTCCCATCTGAGTTGTGTCCTGCAGCGACCACAGAGCCGGCCATCAGCAGCAGCATGGGACACAGGGGACATGGCACTGTGCCCCTTAGGTCCTCTGGGCCCAGAACACCTGCCCTGACCCAGCCTGGGCAGGTCTGGACCTTCCCAGGTTTCCCAATCGGAACCTACTTAGTGGACCATGGTTATGAGTTCTGTAGGATCACACCAGCTCTTTTTTGAAAAGGAACTGAACAAAATACCACCAAGGACCTCACCCAACAAGAACACCATCTTTTGAAAATCCCTTCTACTCAGGCTGGGGCACACTTGCTTCTTACTGTAGGGCATGGTCAGAGTAGGGGAAGCTAAGCCTTGCCTGCCCCAGCTGGGGGCCTAAAGGGTCCCCGGCGAGCCACGAACAGACAGGACAGTTCAAGACAGCCTGCACGCGGGACGGGGGCCAAGGCGCCCCGCCGGAGACACGAACAGACAGGACAGTTCAAGACAGCCTGCACGCGGGCCCAGCCACCTGCACATGCTGTCAGGGATGTACAGGCCTGAACCGCGTGGTGCCTCAGGACCGAGTCACTAACAGCCTGGCTGCCCTGCAGTCCTCGCTGCTTTTTGGGGTATTGTGGATTGAACCCAGGGGGTCTGCCACTGAGTTACCACCTCAGCCCTTTATTAACATGTTTTATTTTGAGATAGGGAGTCACTAGGTTGCCCAGATGGGACTCACATGTGTGATTCTCCTGCCTCGGTCTCCCTGATGGCTGGGATCACAGGCATGCACCGTGCCTGGCCTGCTCTTAGTCTGGGCAGTAGCCAGAACAGTAGCGCTCCTGTGACTGCCTCCACGCGAACAGTGTCGTAACGTTAGACCAACGCCACACCCAAGCTGGGGCAATGAGTGTGTCAGCTGCACCTCTGGCGTGTCTGTGGTGGCCACTCGGCCCAGCTTTTGGATTAACCTCTACATGACTGACTGTGAATGCTGCACTATCGAACGCTTAAGGCAGATGTGGTGGCACACGCCTCTTACCAGCCAGTGGGGAGGCTGAGGCAGGAGGATCACAGACTCAAGACCAGTATGGGTAACTTAGCAAGACCTTGTCTCAAAACAAGAAATAAAGCCAGGCATGGTGGTGCTCCCCTGTAATCCCAGCACTCAGGTGGCTGAGGCAAGGGGGTTTCCATGAGTTTTGAGGCCATCCTGGGCTACATAGTGAATTCAAGACCAGCCTGAATAAGAACCAAGATAGATTATGTAAACGCACAAATTTCCAGTGATGAATGTCAGTACACTGCATACCTAAAATGTACCAATAAAATAATAAAAAAAGAGCAGCCTGAATTACAAAGCGAGACCTGTCTCCAAACCCAAAACCAAATTAAAAGGGCTGAGGACACTACTCGGTGTAGAGCGCCTGGGCTGGTTCAGGGCACTGTCCAGGACCTCCTCCTCCCCACGGCAGGCAGGTCGTGTGGTGACCCCGACTCTGGCACCACTGGCACCAGCGCCTGGCTGCGTGAAAGCAGGGGGGTCGCCACCAGGGACGCCCCAGCTTGCCAAGGCTCCAGCAGGTTTCAGGGCATCGCAGTGAACTGTCCACGTCCAGACACGAGCATTTCTCATGACCAGTGGTGTCTGAAACACCCGCATTCTTGGGGTTCTGGAGATCAGCCAACGCGGGTGCCCAACTCCCTTCACCAAGCACCTGCTAGGTAGGGGCAGACAGGATCCCGGAGGGCAGAGAGGCACATTCCCCGTTCTCCTCCTGTGCTGCACACAACACGTGCTTCTCCCCAAGGGCCAGGGCAGCACTTCCTCCAGGGCTCCTGGGACTGCAGGGCTGCTCTGGGGGACGGACAGACGGACGACACGGTGTGTCCGATACCAAACTCCTGCCTGCCTGACCCAGCCCAAGTGTGCCACCAGGGCATGCGTGAGCAAGTGTGCACTGGGACCTAACTACACGGGAGCGGTCTGCACGGAGACAGAATGGAAACGTGTCCTGAAGGAAGCCGGAAAGAAGGGGACTGGACGGCAGCCACGCGGGCTGCCCAAGACACCCCAAAAGGAGCAGTACCCAAGCCCCCGAGAATCTGCA